CCCCCCCCCCCCCCCATGTTGAGTGTATGTGGCGGGAGATTAAAACAGAATTTTTATCAAGTTGCCAAGGTTGAGAAACACTGCCTTAAGCTATATAAAGCTTAGAGGCCCGTTGTTAAAAAGTTGCACCAGAAGGTCTCACTAAAAATAAAACAGGACCTTGGATCCTGTTTTTCAAAAAAATTGAAAACATATATATGAAAACATATTTAAAGTGAAAAATACAAATTATTTTCAAATGAATGCATTTGCTGATTACCTATTTATCATCTGGCTGGCTTGATCTGTCTCACAGATTATAATATAGTATACCCTGGAAACAATACTTCAATGTAAAATAATACAAAATGCTGACAAAATAAGTAATCAGGATCATTTTTATTAATACAAGTAATAATGAACTCATTTGCAAAGTCAGAAAACTGATATTCTGAAATTTTGTGCGGCCCTGCGAATTGTGAGGCCCAAACTGTAGCTTGTTTAGCTTATGCCTAAATCCAGCACTGGTCACAGTGTCTGTAAGGAATGATACCTGTTACAGGTAGTCCTTCACTTATGACCACAATAGGGGCCGGAAAATTCATAGTTAAGCAGTATGGTCATTAAGCAAAGCATCACATAACCACACCTGATTTTACAACCTTTTTTGCCACAGTTGTTAAGCAAAACACACAGTTCCCCGTTGACTTTGCTTATTGGAAGTCGGCTGGGAAGGTCGCAAATAGTGATCATGTGACCGCGGAACACTGCAACTGTCATAAATACATGCCAGATGCCAAGTGCCTGATTTTTTATCATGTGACCGCAGGGATGCTGTGACAGTCATAAGTGCAAGGACCGGTCGTCACTTTTTTCAGTGCTGTTGTAACTTCGAACCGTCACTAAACGAATGGTTGTAAGTGAAGGACTACCTGTAGTTAATCCTTTTAATTGGATTTGCCCAGGATTAAACTTCGGCAGAGCTACCATATCTGGGCTGCAAATTTACAATGACCAGCCGATGGCAGCAGAGAGATAAGGACTCATATGGAGTTTCACAGCCCAATACAGAAGCCCTACATCTGGGTCATTCTAAATGCAAAGCAGGTGTTGTACAATAAGGGTGAAAAATGGAGTCAGATGTTTTGGCCAGTTTCTGCACTGGGGGAGGACTAGGATTTTTAAGACACAAAGTGGGTGCTTTAAGTTTTGCAGGTGTTTAAGGCACCCATTTCTTCTCTTAAAACACTTGAAATTCAATTCTACACACTTTTGGGGTGTGGCCCTTGATGGGCCACGCAAAGTCCTGGGCAGCCCTTGGGTTCATGGGAATTGGGTGTCTTGGCTCTGCAATTTAGGCACACGCAGGTCAGGAAGGCAACCATCACAACTGCTTTTTGTCATGGTATCTTCCACCTAGAGCAGCATTTCTCAACCTTGGCCACTTTAAGATGGATGGCTGGGGAATTCTGGGAGTTGAGGTCCACCCATCTTAAAGTGGCCAAGGTTGAGAAACCCTGACCTAGAGGAACCTTCCATAACGAACTGCTTTCTAACTCTTTTTGACGAGCTGCCATTATTTTCTGTGGCGACTAAGGCTGATTGGCATTGCAGTTTGCAGCACCTGGAAGCTACTGGGATGGTGAAACCTGGTTTAGCATGGAGCTTAGTCTGGGGGGCCACAAATCTCATCCAGAAGTTGTTGCCTTTCCAACAGACAATAGGTGTCTGTCTTTGTTACACACTAAGCAAAAATTCAAAATGGAACCCTATTCCTGTACGGGGAGAACCCAGAAGATTCAGTGTATAAATCCTGTGTGTTATGACCAGATTCTGTCCCAGAGAAAACATTTCTTTCTCCCTCCCTCCTTCCTTCCTTCCTTTCTGTAATCTGTGGTTCCCTAGATGTTGCTGGACTACAAGTCCCATCTGCCTTTGCCAATGTCCACCATGGCTAAATCCTGTGTGTTATGACCAGATTCTGTCCCAGAGAAAACATTTCTCCCTCCCTCCCTCCTTCCTTCCTTCCTTTCTATAATCTGTGGTTCCCTAGATGTTGCTGGACTACAAGTTCCATCTGCCTTTGCCAATGTCCACCATGGCTGAGAACTATAGTTTGACACTTATCAGGAGGGCCACAGGTGTGCCCCCCCCATGAACTAGCCAAGCCAATGTTCTGCTGCTCCTTGGCAGCTTTACCTGTTGAATTTCTGCCAGTTTTGTGCCTCTAGGACCACCTTCTTCAGCCCAATGCTTTCCCTAAGAGTCACGAACCAGCATAGCCGTTGGATTTCAGGTCTGACATGTTTAGCAAACAGCATGGCAGTTTGAAAAAGGATGTCTGAGGATAAAAACAGACTCTTTTACGTTTATCCCTAGTTCCCACGGCTGCCCAGGGAGATGCTTGGCATGGCAGACTGCTCTCGTGGCTCCAGCTGCAGAATATCAGGAATGGCAGTGGACCATGGGTTCTTTGTTGCCTCAGCACAGGTGAAAGGTGCACCGATCTGCTCTAGCAGGATTGGGGAAAAGCACCATAATTGCCAGAGCAATGAGCAGACAGAGATTGGCTGGGGGGGTTCAGCTGAGGGGAAGTAAAAGCTCATAAGAAAGAGCATCTGGACTGGGGGGGGGCAAAAAAAATCAAGATGGTGGCCGTGACCGAAGCCCCACACCTTTTTATACACCTTGCACTTTTTAACAAGCATTTTACATGCAATGCATATAAAAAAGAGGTGGCTTTGATCACATGGTTGTGGCTGCCATATTTACATTTTTGACCCCCCCCCCACAACCCCAAGCAGAAGGGCCTGCCCCAAGAAGGTCATCTGTGTAGGTCCAAAGGGAGGAAAAGGGCCGCTAATGTCTCTCTTTGCAAAGGCCCAGTTCGGCATAGTTACATCCCCCAGCAACCCCCTTGTCAAATCCCACTGCTGCAGGTCAGACGGGGCACTTCCGAGGGAGAAACAGGAGAGACCAGGATGCCCTTCTGACACCAGGCGGGTTGGACAACAGTTCCCAGTTGTCTGCCGTGCCTGGGAATTCTGGGAGGGCACCTAGTTGTGGAAAGATGGATGAGGCATCTTTTTGATAGCAAAACAAAGTCATGGGTAGACCTTACAAGAATACAGTTCTCAACTTCTGTGACCGAAGTGTCATTTTCTCCTCCTTCCCATGTCTTACACAGGTTTCTTCCACTTGGAAGTCCAAAACTTCTCTGCTTTTATGTTTCTCACCGTTTCATGCTTTGGTCTGTTTTACAGGAAATGTTGTGGGTGGGTTGAACTCTAATGTGGTCGGCATGGGATCTATGTGACACTTGTGGGGGGGTTTAGAAGGGGGGAACTTTGAATCAGTTGCAATGACGCACTTCTCTTTGAACTGAACATCTCCTCTTGCACTTGCGATTGGAGCACAATGCATGGAAAAAACAACCAGAGCTTCAAGTGTACCGCTGCGGCTGCCATCTTGACTCTTGGGACCAGTGTTTCCCAGCCTTGGGAACTGTAAAATGTGTGGACTTCAACTCCCAGAATTCCCCAACCAGCATGGCTGGTTGGGGAATTCTGGGAGT